GAATCCTTCAAAGCAATAAGATCCTCTTTTAGGGGTTCTATAGGGTTAAGGGGTTCTATACGGGTATTTCAAGGGTCCAAAAAGGGTACTTTCAGGGTTCTATAAGGGTATTTTAAGGGTCCAAGAAGGGTATGTTTAGGGGTTCTATCAGGGCTTATAAGCGGTGAAGGCATTTAAGGATTTAGGGTCTAGTACTTTTGGGCTAGCCGTGCTTTTTATGTCGTGGGTGTTAGGGTTTAGGGTTTACGGTTAGGGTTCGGGTTCAGGGTTCAGGGTTTAGGGTTTAGGGTTTGGGTTTAGGGTTTAGGGTTTAGGGCTTGGAGGTTGGGATTCTGAGGCTTCGGGCCAAGTTCTTGGGAGTTGACCCCGAAAGCTACAATGCCAACCCCGGATCCCTCACCACGAAGCCTGAATTTCTGAACCCCAGTCAGTATACTTCCATAATGTCGGGTCCTAAACGGCTTGATCCCCAAGCACTTCTGGTTTTAAAGTCCCGTGCTCCCTCAAACTTTCAGGTCTGCACATCTAATCGCCCTCATCATATGCTCCTCCTCTTCCTCCGCATGATGAGGACGATGAGGATCATGCTGAAGCTTCCCTTTTTGGTCATCGTGATAGTTGGCTCTGTTACTGTTGTACATGATGTTGTCGTGGCTTCCGCCGGCATCATCGCACACTCGTGAGATATCTAGACTCTTCCAGACACCTGGTTCTTCTTCTGGTTGCGCTTGTGCTTCATGATTTCTACGCCTAGAATGAAAAGAAGAGGCTATGATTGTTTTCCTCGTGCCCGCGGATCTTGCCAGGAGTTCTCTAAGTTGGCCAACAAGAACAAAACCAAGGAATCAGGCGCCCTTTGACATTGGTGCTTTGCAGGAGTATAGGATTCGGGGTAGTGCTTTGCGTGTTGATGTTTCAGAGCTTCAGGGTCTGGGGGCCTGGGTTCAGGGGACCGTCCGGGTTCGGGTTCCGCATTTGGGGCGTGAGCTCTGAGGAGCTGCAGCTGCTTCTCTTGATTTTGAAGGCCGAACTTGGACAACCAAAAGCTGGAGGCCCAATAGTACCCCACAAAATGGAAGAAGGCCATTGATAGCATCGCGGAAGTTTCGCAAAACCAAGTATCCCGACCAGCTGCCTCCGCGCGATATTCCGGTTCGAGGGTGTGGATTTTTTTCACCACGCCTGCCTTCATGCCATTGTCACTCTATCCTCCGACAATCCTGAATAATGGAAGCCTTCCTATGGGCAGTATGCCACAACCAGCCCTTGCCAACATCAGACAGTCGGCCGAAATCCAGGTTACGAACCTCCAAACCCTAAAGAAACAAGACTTCTGGGGTGCTGGAATCAAGGCGATGGTGAAGATGAAGGCGAAGCTGAAGAGCTCGATGCAGATGAAACTGAAGACGACGGCCGATTGTCTGATGTTGGCTAGGAGTCTCCTTCCAAGGGAAGGCTTCTATCTTTCGGGCTCGAACCGGAATATCGCGTGGAGGCATATGTCCGGATATGCAGACCACAAACTGACAAAATGTACGGTAATTTTTAAAGATCTTGCTAGATTGGATATACCGACTTTTGTTGGTGTTTGCTGCAGATCCTAAGCATGTACTTTCACCCTGAACTGAAACATTGCCGGTTTCTGGGATCAAGGCGACGGTGAAGATGAAGACGAAGATGAAGATGAAAGCGAAGACGAAGAAGACGCTGTGGGTGGCAAAGACGGAAAGAAGACTGGAAAGAAAGACAGCTGCTTGGCTCGTTATGACAAGAGATCGACGGCTTGTAGCACTTGTCTCGTTTCGGTTCGCCCCGGTCTCGGTCCCTGCCTGCTATTCGCTGCGCCCGACTGCTGCTCTGCCTGCTGCCACTGCTACGACGATTGCAAAGACTGCCGCAGCACCGACGACGGCGAGAAGGGTCGGCAACGACGACAGCGACGACGAGGCCGAGGACGAGAAGGAGGCGAGCGAGGCCGAAGAGCGGCGGCGACGACGGCGGCTGCTGCTGTTGCAGGTACCCAGAGAGCCCAATACCCCTTAATTAAGGAATATATTTTTTTCGGTAGATTCCTGATTTAAGGGGTATTGGGCTCTCTGGGTACAACAATCGGCCTGCCGCACAATTACCATGGCATATTATGAGGACGGTTTCTACTCTTACTACTACTACCTACGAGTAACATTACTGGTCATGGAGCAAGCGCAGCACCGAGCCCTGAACTTTAAAACCCCAAGCCACATGCCCAAAGCCCCTGTCCCTGACCAACCAACCCACAGGGACCCAAGACCCTCTGCAACCCCAAAGCATCATGAACAGTATCCACCCCATCACAAGAACACCCTCAACCCTACACATTCAGCCCTAAGCCCTAAACCCCAAACCCTAAACCCAAAAATTGAAGCCCTAAAACCTAAACCCCAAACCCTAAACCCAAAGATCTACACCCCACCCCAAAAAAGCGCCAGCCACCAAAGCCTGCGCAGCTTCTCCAAGGCTCCACGGCCGACGAAGCCAAGAAGTCGAAGGAGACACTCGGCTCGACTCGGGGTTTAGGTTTGAGGGGCTTAGGGTTTAGGGGTTTTGGGGGTTTTGGGTTTTTTTTTGGGGTTTTTGGGGTTTAGGGGTTTAGGGGTTCGGGTTTAGGGTTCAGGGTTTAGGGTTTGGGGGGTTAGGGGTTTAGGGTTTCGGGGCTTTTAGGGTTTAGGGTGTCAGTCTAGAAGACTGAATCAGAAGGAAGGCTGGTAGTAATAACACCAGTAAGACTGATAGTAATGATAATGATAATAGCAATCATAACAATTGAAGCCTGAGTACTTGATAGTAGTACTTTGGGTTATGAAGACACATATAAATACCAGTAATAGGAACAAGCACAGTAATTCTGGTAGCGATGATACTGAAGAATAATCATTTTCTGAGGGTTCCTGTTGTCAGTACAGTATAACATCGTGACTATTAGTATCAATTTTTGTCATCTGATGGTTACGATTGACTGCAGCAGCAGCAGCAGGATGAGGAGGAGGAGCAGGAGGAGTGGTAAGTAGACGTGCTTGGATTCTTGCACGATGGGTTAGCTCGGGTATTGGGAATTTCAGTGTCAGGGTTTAGGCTTGGAGTTGTGGGCTCTGGCAACAACAGGCTCCTCTTTAGAAAATAGCCACCCAAAGTCGTCGGCCAGTGAAAGACCAGCTCAGCTCTTGAATTCTTCCTACCCGGAGCCACTGCCCAGACCCCCGGGAGGATCCAAAAAATAGACTCGACCCTTTAGTATTATAGGGTCCCAAATCAGGGGTTCTACTTTCTAGATCCTAAACCCTAAACCCTCATAAACCCCCTAAAGCCCTATAGATCCCTTTTAGGAGCCCTTAAAGGAACCCTTATATTAGGGGTTCTACTTTTTAGATCCTTTCAGGTGTTTGGGTAGGGAGGTTTTGAGCAGAAGCGGCAACGCCTACACAGATGACCGCAGGAGCCTCAACCCTCGGCCCCGAGACCTTTCTGAAACACAATGAAACCTTCCACCCAAAACCCTAAACCCTAGCCCTAAACCCTAAACCCCTAAACCCTAAACCCTAGGATAAGACACCAAGTCTTTCTGAAGCTCAGGGCTGCGCCTAAGAGCTCGTAGCTGCCGGGCTCGCTCCATACCTGCCACAGGCCTGGCGCGGTTTGGGGTTTAGGGGTTTAGGGTTTGGGGTTTGGGGTTTAATGTTTAGGGTTTAGGGGTTTCGGGTGTAGGGTTTAGGGTTTAGGGGTTCGGATTCGGATACTGGGCTTCGATCAGAGCTTTGCGCAGTGTTTTTTTTTGAAATACTGGTTTCTAGGATGCAGGTGGAGGGCTGAGGGCGTATGATGTAGGGTTTGCAGCTTAGGGTCAAGGCTTTCGGGTTTGAGGTGTAGGTTTGGGGTCTTAACCCTAAACCCTAAACCCTAAACCCTAAACCCTAAACCCTAAACCCTAAACCCTAAACCCTAAACCCTAAAAGTTTAAGATTCGCGGCATTGCGGCTGAGGCTTGGGGTCTGTGTGCCAAATCTTCCAAACAGTCTGCTCTGAGGCCCTAAAGCCTAAGCTCTAAACCCTATACTGTTGATGGACAAAATCCTGCATGACAGATATATACCTGAACTATGGGCTTTATGGAACTATACTGTATTTGGGTCATGCAGGATTTTGTCCATCAACAGTAGCACCCTGCCTAAGTCCTGAACCCTAAACCCTCTCAGAAGGCTGCAATGGTGAGGGGTTGAACGCACGTGGTGCAGGGGCAAAGGTTGTCTGTCCACGACGGCTCCTTGAGCTAGAGGGGTGGATGTCAAAACGGGGGGACCTTTGCTGAAGTCAAGGCTCCAGGGCTCATGCTTCAGGCTTGAGCGCGTCAGACAGCGCTAAGCTCTAAGCCTCAACACGGAATCTTCGGCTTGCGTAATGTAGGGGCCTAGCTAATTACCCATTCTACTTTGGGGGTTCCTCGTTATAAGTGTAGTATGATGGGCCCCAAGACCCTATTCCAATTATTGAGGCCCCCGCTAGATCTGCCTGTCTATCTGTCTAGATGGGAGTTTCCGAAAATTAGGGTACCTTATTTGGGGGTCCTTATAATAAGGATCCTACTATTTAGGGTACTATATTAGGGTCCCCCTATTTTCGGAAACCCCCAGATGTATCTCAGAGTATCTAAGACCCTAATTAAGTCCCTAAGCGCGGAAGCCCCAAGGCCTGAACCTGACATGAAGCTTCACGGGTATTTACATTGGGTGGTTGTCAAAATTATAGTCCCTTTCTGGGTCCTTATTATAATACGGCACCTATTATTTAGGGTACCCCAAAAGGGACCATAATTTTGACAACTGCCCACATGTAACACAAGAGGATTACTCGGCCCCAAACTTGAATTACTTCCTACTTACTGTTGATGGACAAACATGCTGCATCACCTGAAGTACCCCAAACTACGGAGGGTTTTGTCTTTCAGCAGTACGGAACAATTAGCAGTGGTACCCCCTTAAAACCCTATACCGATTCTCATCGCCAAGGTCCCTTGTATCATCGAACCCCTGCAGTTTCCTCTTATCGAGCCCTTCACAGAACCCTTAAATAAGCCCTGGTCTACTTACTGAGGTCCTTAACAATTGGCCAGAGAGGCTCGTGGCCTCGTGCCTTGCGGAATCGCAGCTGGCGCGAGGGAGCTGCAGCTCTGCTGTCAGGAAGATGAAAAGGTTGTTGTTGCGGCTTGTAGAGGGGTAGGGTTTAAATAAGTTTTCGTTTTGGGGTTTGGGATTCTCTGAATGTAAAGCTCGTGAACCCCCTGAGCCCTCAATCGTTGAGAAGCTTCGTTTCAGTTTGGGAGATGTCTCTGGGTTTCGTGCGGTGCTGCTCCGGGGTAGGTTTGGGTGGTGTTGAAAAATCGCGCCGAGTTGATGCTTCGCCGGCTTTCGGGTTTTTCGGGCTGTGGCCATAGGTTTGAGGGTTCAAAGTCGGGATTGCAATCTCCTGCTTGCTTTTCAGTCTTTGTGCACATAAAGGTCGGAGGTTCATGTCATGCTGGTACAGGCTGCCGTAACATCTGAGAATTTTGCGGGCTAGGGTTCCAAGCTTCGAATTAAGTGCTTCGGGTGCAGCAAAGGGGTGGGTCCATCGTTGTGGAAGGTTGCTTGCTAGACTCTGCTAGACTCTTTTAAACTGACATGGAACCTACAAAGGGTCATGCCATGCTATCGTGTAATCCATCTTTGTATAAAGGGTAGATGCCTTCTGCAGGCTCGAAGAGGGCTCATAGGTGCTTCTTGTACTGGATCACCAGGGGTCTTGTTTAGCGAAGGGTGTTTGAGTTTCTGCGGCTGTCCGTAGGAGGAGCAATATCTCGAAGCTTGAAACCACAGGAACCGCATTGCTAACCAACTCACATCGTCTCACCCTACTTGACTGATCCGGGGACCTAGTAAGTGAGTTGTAAGTAGGGCCACGATTGGCAAGCTTCATGAGGGAGAGTCACATGCCTGGTTATAGCCTGTGTTAAAAAGAATCCTTGATCCCTCAAGTACTGGTCATGCAAGATGTGCGGCTTGCGTTCGAAAGTGCGGTGCATTCGAGGTACCCATGTCTAGGCAGGGCATGGCAGCATGTTTCCAGAGAGGGGCCGTGCTTTCAACCCTCTCACTTGAGGTGCCTGTGGTAGGTGGTTGCAGTCTGTACGTTTTGCCCATCTGACGAATGCAAACCCTAGGGCCTCGGACGCACATGCACGGGATTGCAGGTGTTGGGAGTCACAGAGTCACAGGTTTTGAGGAACCGTGCCGCCTCGCCGCCTGCAGTGTTCAAAAGCGTACTTGCTTCGCCGCTTCAGCCTTCCCCCGCATCTCCGCATAAACCGTTGAGCATCATGCCTGTTGGTGCCTTGGCCAAAGTGGGTTAAACCCTAAACCCTAAACCCTAAACTTCCTAGCCGCGGGCAAGCTTAGGGCCTGAACCCAAATTTGCCCAAGGTCCCAATCCGTACCACTTTTGGTTACTCCTAGAAGGGTACCAGAACGTTTGTGGACTTGAGGGTTGAGGCAAGGTTCAGGTTTCGAGGTGGGGTCTGGAGCTTATGGGAAAAGTTTGATGGACAGTGACATCCAGGGTTCACGGCAAACCTTGGCCAGTGAGCCCACAGCTCTGACCCTAATATAGGGGCCTTCATAATTCTAATAGGGTTTGGGGGTGTATTGTACTATAACTATAAAAAGGAACCCCCCCAAAACCCTATTCTAATCATTAAGGCCCCTACACTAAGCTCCTAAACCCTCAATGCATGCGCCCCTTCAGTGCCGATGCTCAGCATAGGTCAAAGCGAGCCCACCGCCCATCCCCAAAACCGAAACTCGAAACACCAAGCCCACACCTCCAGATACTACAGGGTTTAGGGGTTTAGGGGTTTAGGGTTTAGGGTTTAGGGTTTAGGACCCCAAACTCCCAAGATCCGGTGGACCATAAAGGCTATAATATAGTTTACTATCGTATCTTACCAAGTATACTGCACTATGCTATCCGATCCTATCCTGTCATATCCTCTGCTATCTCGAAGTATACCGTGCTATGCTATAACAGACCAGATTCTCATAACTACTGTACTATACCACAGTCAAGTGTAGGGCATGGCTGTAACCTACTATAGTCCATATACTGCACTACACGATAGTTCAATGTGAGGTATGGGAATCAATGGCTTCGGTCGCATCGGCCGCCTCGTCTTCCGTGCCGCCATGGGCAATCCGGACGCCGAGGCCCGACCTCGGCAGCTTACAGTTTTAGGCTTTAAGGGCTTTAAGGGTTCTTTCAGGGCTTTCTATATCTGTGCTACAAGGGTACTATCTATCAGGGTTCTATAGGGTTCGTTTGAGGGGTTGAGTCTTTTGGGGTTCAGCTCTCCACTGTCTTCAGGTCATTGAGATAGGAGAACTTCGGATGTCCAGGCATGTCGGCTTTTTTTCTCAGCTGTAGTGGTGTATGGCTGAGCTGTAACCCTGAAGCTGCCAAACAAGAGCCCTGAACCAAGCCTTATATACTCCCCTCTATAAGTCCCCTGATCCTAACACCCCCAACTCCCTGGCAGCCCCCTAGCAAATCTGACACTGTAGCCGGCTTGCGAAGTCCCCCGCTCCCCAAGCCCCAAACCAATCCTACACCCAAAGCCCAAAAGCCTCAATCCCAGACAATCATATCATAGTGCCCCGTATGGAACCCTTCAGGAAATTTTCGGAGCACCTCTTGCACCCTCAGAGTGGGCCCTTACGGTGAACCCCACGCTTCCGGGGACCCTTCAAGGTACCCTTCAGAGGACCCGATTATAGAACCCCATAGTACCCTTTAAAGGGAGCCCTACTATAGAACCCCACAAACCCCTTCAGGGCCCTAAAAGGGACCCAACACGATTCCGTCCCAAGTGTCCAGGTCAAGGCCATCAACGATCCCTTCATGGTCCGGGTCCCAAGAGCGATTTTAGGGTTCAGAGTTTTTGGTGGGGTTTCTATCAGAGCTTCCATAAGGCTCTGCAGAGCTTCGACTTCAGTAGGGTTAAGTGTTTGGGGTTTGGGAGTTTCGGCTTTTGAGCATTTCAGGATATAGAGTTTTAGGGAGACGCGGTGCCTTCCCTTGTTTCCTGCAGCTCTCGGCTCACGGACCCGAGGACTTGCAGTACATGGCCCTACCCAAGCGATAAACTCCGAACCGATCCGAGGACCTTAAACCCCAAGCTCCTAAACTCTTAATCCCTAAACCCTAAACCCTAAACCCTAAACCCTAAACCCTAAACCCCAAACCGACCCAAGGACTTGAAGTACATGGTCTACCAGCTCAAGTATGACAGCGTCCACAAGACCTTTGCAGGCACGGTGGCATGCAAGGAGGCAGATGGAAAGGAGTTCCTGGCCGCTCGTCTCGCAGAGTTTAGGGGCGTTTGGGATTAGGTGCTTCTGTTAGACATGTAGGGTTGAGTTTAGGGTTCAGTTCAGGGGCTTCAGGTTTGGGGTTTGGTTTGTCATTTGCGTCAGAATTGTTTTTGATGGCGAAGGTCGTCAACGGCAAGGAAATTGCGGTGTTCCACGAGAAGGCGGGGGTGTACGTGAACATGGTCACAAGATCACAGCGACTTACTGCAAGCAATTTCTTCAAGAACCCTATCCGCACAAACCTAATCCCTAAACCCTAAACCCTAAAGCCTTATAAAACCCTAATCGTCCTAAACCGTAATACTTCGTGTCTGAATCCTTTTCTTACCCCTCCAGTGTGTTGGCAGCATCTGGGTTGGTGGGCCGGCCCTTGGATATTGGTTTATAGGGTTCAGGATCCAGCTGTGGGTT